CCATTCGTTCATTCATTCATCCATTCTTCAGTAAATAAAAAGTGCCCTACTATGTGCCTTGACCTGTTCTGGATGTCATTGTGTTAAAAATTTGTGATATAACAGTCAGTGAAACTCTAAAATTTTTTGTCAAGTTCGTGATAACAGCCAGCAAGATATCGAATGCATGATAGGCAGACAGCCTGTATTTGTTAATTAGATTTTTCTTTTCTTTTTTTATTTATAAATATAATTTCTGTAGTGACATAATTTGGATTTACAGTAATTGTTAACATTGTTTGCCTGAGACCCTAACTCATTTGTCACATAATATATAGCAGTTTATAGCTTTTATCATCAAAGTAAAATAGGTCGCATCCCTACTTCCTACAGTACTGGTCCTACCTTTAGTACAGGTCCTCTTCATACCTGGGCAATTCGCTTGGGCTGCTGGGGTCTCTATCCCTCATCCATTCTTTACACGATATCCAGAGAGATTCTTCTCGAATACTAATCTGATCATATCACTTTTTATAGGTGTCATATTACCTTCAGGTTAGATTGTAAACCCATTAATTTTGCCCTTTAGTATCTGGTTCAAAACTACTGTCATCCCCTTTGAAGCAGATGTCAGTGAGAGCTAGTTTAATGAAACAAAGCTAAATGCCATGTCCTCTGAAGACAGTATTCCAAGTTAGAATTTTAAAATTGCAGCCTATATATATATAAGTTTTGGGAATTTTGTCTTCAGTATTGACAAGCAAGATAAAATATTGTTGTTTGATATATTTTATTTCTTGGAGAATTGTTTAATTTTTCTTGATAAGAATTTTTTTTTAAACTACCTAGGAATGAGTACTGACAGAAATTGAAATGATCATTCTTCTAGAGACTAAAGGCAAATAACTTTTTCTTGCTCTTCATGGCCTTGGGTTAATAGATGTGGGGAAGGTTGAAGCCTAAGTTCTCCCAGCATTTCACCCTTCTTGGATCCTTATGAGCTATTCCATAAATGAATTTCTCTAGTTTCTTTATGAAGAAAATCAGGGTCTAGTGGCAATGAGTCCAAAATGAAACCATCTCTGTTATCAGTAAAAGCGTTAATAAAACCATTAAAGCTACTTGAATTGATGGCCGATATGGTTGTGTGTGTGAGACTTCAGCCAGGATGGGCTTTGTAGCTTCACTGCATCTCTGACTAGTGTAACAGTTCTCTTTCATGAAATTTATGTTTATTTATGGTTCTATTTATTTAAGCATTCTCTTTTAATTAAAAATAAAGAAAAATATTTAGAAAATTTGACAAACATTTCAAAAGTTCTGCTTCTGTGTAAACTTGTCATACATAGATGTTAAGTGGGGCAGTGAAGTTAGGTTATTAAAAATTTGTTTTTAAATTTCAGATAGTTGTGTCTCTTAGTTAATAATTTGATGTTTTAAAATGTTAATGTGTGGCATGTTCACTATAATTGTCAGTTGCATAGTAATGTCTCAAAAGTTGATCTAAGTTTAGTATTGATGTATTAAATTGATAATATGATTGCCAATTCGAAAATATGTTCCAGGGAGTCTTTACTATATCAGTATGAAAAGGAATAACTTTGGTGAAATATTTTCCACATAATTTAAAAATTACCTCTCTAAAAGATTAGGTAGATTCCTTGATTGGGAGAGCAGTGACATTTTCTTTCAATAGCACATATGTAGATAGTCCCCTAACAGAAGATACATTCTAGAAAAAGATTTATTGGCTTCTATTAGAAAATTGAAAGAAGGCTTCTGTTATATAATAATATGTTTAACACAGTACATAGATGAGATTTTGAGAAAGTATTTCATCTTTATTTAAAAAGATAAAAATGGCATAGTAAAGGAATAGAGTGAAGTTATACTTCTGCATTGAACATTTTTTAGTCAAACATTAACTACAACACTGATAATTTGCCAGCTATGCTATGGTGTTTGCCTTTCTCAGCATTGGTCTTTTTAATTCTTCCTCTGCCTCCATTTTTTAATTCTGCAACAATATCTTTATAACCTTTTCTCTTCTGAAACCAGAGATACCACTGTAATTTAAACCCTTCTCGTTTCTGGTTTGGATTATTGCAGAAACCTAGTTGACATTCCTAATTCTAGTCAATACAGTTTACTGGTTTTTGTTTTGCTTTCATTTGGTTTACATCTTCTGTAGTGGGTCTACCGACACTCTCATTAGACATTGATTTGGGATAAGGGGAGACTTTGGCAGGATCCCTCTCTTTCTCAGTTTCTTACATTCCGTCATATATATCTTCCAGATTAGTCTTCATGAAACGCCATTTAATACCTGGAGCATTTATTAGATGTGACTAGGGTATGATTTGTGCTATTATTAGAATTTACACTCTAATAAATTATTATATATGTTTGTGAGAGATTGTACTAGATGACCTTGATTCTATGATACTGTCACTTCTTTCAAAGCTAGATTGAGGTTCACTTTGTCTACAGAACTTTCCCTGACTAAAAAATTATCTTTTGCTTTTTAGTCTGTAATCTCAAATAGACCAACTTTCTGACATACTTGCTAATACATTTCTTGGCCTTGTTCTGCCTGAAAGAATTCTTTGTAAATGGCATTCATTGTATGGAGATTGCAGAACTTCTATCACAAACTACACAGAAAATGGGATAGTAAATTCAAGTGATAGGAAATGTGAAAGAAAAAAGGTAAAGGTAACCTTTGATGTTAGGGGAATATAAAAGTGTCTGAGCCTTAACCCAACTGGTAGAATTTAAGGTATTAAAATATCCGCAGTAAAACCACAGTTGAGATAGATTTCAAACACATTTGAAAAACAGTCCTGTCTAAGAGCCTTTTTTACTCACTTTTTTTTTTGACAACTGTCTGTACATACTTATTCCTCTTTTTTAATTAGGCATTTGGATTTTTGCTAATTGATTTATGAGAACTCTCTATATACAATCTAATAAGTAAAATGTCTCTTTATGATGTGAGTTACAAATGCTTTTTCCTATTTAGTCTTTTGACATTGTATTGTTTCCCTATGTAGAAATCTGATTTTTTTTTTAATTAATAATTTTATTTTTTAGAGCAGTTTTAGGTTCACGGCAAAATAAATCAGAAAGTATAAGGAGTTCTTGTAAAACCCTGTCCTCACGTGAGCAAAACCTCCCCCACTATGGACATCCCACACACACCACAGTAGTACATGTATTACAATGATGAACAACAAATCGAACAGTTTGTTAAAATCAATGAAATTTGATTTTTTTCAATTTACTCTTTTAGTTTTTTTTTTCTCATAGGCTGATATTTTTTGAGAGGCCTTCATTCTTGACATTAAAAACAAATGTTATCCTATAATGATAGTGATAACAATGACAATAACAACAAATAGTATTAACTCATTGACTTCTTACTCTATACCAGGCACAATTTCTTAACCATACCTTAATTAGGTAGGTTAAATTATTAGCTTCATTTTATAGAAGAGAAAATAGAGGTACAGGATGTTTAAATTATCTGTTAAAGTTACACAGCAAATAGATGGTAGATTATTTTCCAAGTAGTTTGGGTAGAATCCATGTTCTTAAACCATATGCTATAGTGCTTCATTTTAAACATTTTATATTTTTTATGTACTTGTTTGGTATATGACGTTTGAGGTAGGAATTCAACCTTATTTTTGGACTGCTTGGATAGAGGGAGAGCCACCAAAGAGGAATATAAAGAATCGATCATCATAGTGGGAATATAGCAATGGATGTGGTAGACCTTGTGGGAGACTGCTGAGATTTAAGATAAGGAAATATAATTTGGCAAGATGAAGTTATTTTGCTGGTAGGTGTTTAAATGGAATGAGCTGAAGGCAGAAGTCAGGTGGGAACTGCGTTGAGACTATGAGAAAATAGAAGCAGTGAAAACAAGTCTTTTGAAAAGTGGCCGTTAATATGAGGAGGGAGGAGAGCTGTAGGGTAAGGGAAAATTATTGTTATTTTTTAGAAAGATGAAAGAGACTTATAGATGTTACAATGCTGATTGGAAGGATTCAATTAGAGAAGAGATTAAAGAAGATATGGGAAGAAAGCTTTTCTGTTATGGAGGTTCCTGAAAATCAAAGAGGGGAGGAACTCTAAAGCACAAATGTAGGGATTTGCTTTGTATAGAAATGCTGTATTTCTAGAGAATATGTAAAAAGACTAGTGTAGATACAAGTGATTGTGAGCTCATTGGTGTCAAGTGATAGTTCCCCAATGATGGTGCATATTTTCTCTGTAAAGAGTGTCATCTACTGAGTGGAGAGTTTGAGGGAGAAGGGAGGAGGAGGTTTGAATTTTAGCTGTTATGGCAAAGAAGGGAGGGATTGATGAGAAAAAACTAAGGGGATTTTGGAACATTGTTGAAGGCCCACCCATTGGAAGTTGGTAACAGCATGAGTTAAAATTTCTTTTCTAGTGACTTTCAGGCCATCACAGTTCTGCCATCACACTTAATATAATTAATACTCTTTAATCATTCACTACCACCCTAGAATTAAAAAATAGGCATACTGCTTTTAAAGCTTGCCAAGTTAGTGTTTTATGTATGTTGAATAGAGTAAATTTGGAGAAGGCTGAAAAAAATCACTACTTTCACTTCATTATGATACTCTTAAATGATAGAAGGCATTTCTTGGGAGTAGATTTTGAATGTGTATGCTAATTCATTTAACTTGTTCACATGGATGTTACCCTTGGGTAACTTGTAGAAGGGATTATAAAATGAGATTGCATGTTTTAAGTTTAAACCTATGTGGTCTGCAATGCCTAAATTCATTCGTTGTTAAACTTGTTGGTTTCTTTTTTTTTTTACACAGGGTGTGATAGGTATACAGTTGGTCGTTACAATGGTGATGGCCAGTGTCATGCAGAAAATTATACCTCACTATTCTCTTGCTCAATGGCTACTCTGTAATGGCAGGTAAGTCAAGGATAGTCTGATTGTGACTGGCACTTTCAAATCTCTGTTTAGTTTACCAGGCTGGTTAACTTCATAGAGAGTTAAGCACTAATTCCTGTTTTCTAAAAATATGACAGAAGAATGCTATAAGAAATATCTAGCTTCCTTATTATTCTTGAGATATTAGTAGTTTTCTTTCTTTCTTTCTTTTTTTTTTTTTTTATCTATTTAGCACAAAGATAATAGGATCATGCCCGAGAATTCTGTACACCCCCTTCTCTGTCCTCTTTTGTCCATGGCCACTGAAAATAGCACATAACTTTTCTATTACCTTTTTAAAAAGTTGGTCAAAAAGAGGATGAGATTATAAATTATAAATTGAATAGCTTAACTATTTTCACCATTGTTGGAAAAAAATGACTCAAAGAATGTGTGCTATTATTGGTGACTTGGTTTAGAGTTTATTATGAGTTAAGGGGTTCTTTGTTTTAATGCAAATAATTTTAAACTTTAATTTAGTAAGTAGGGGGTAGAGTTATTTTGTAGGATTTTACTTTTGTCTACTGCACTATAGCTTACTACTATCCCAACCCCTTCATAAAGGAGGTAAGTTATCTTGCTGAAATTTGTACAGTAAAAAAATAAAAGTAAAGAAAAATGTAGGAGACATAATAAGACAAAAGCAGGAAAACTCTGCACACAGAAATACATGCCAAAATCCTGTGTAATTATAAAAGGTAAGTTGTAGATTTGGTGCCATGATTATAGTTTTATTCCAGTTATTCATCTTCAATAAATAATAAAATTCTGTTATTGATTTGTATGTCTCTTTTGTTTAGATTTTTTGAAGTTAGAAAACAATCGATAGCTCTTAACTTCCTATTGATTTCATATACTACAATAATAAACTTTTAGTTAAGGGCCATTCTATCCACAAAGCTTAAATTTCCTCCATAAAACTTATTTTCTAGTTTTAATTATTTATATTCTTCTTCTGTATGCTTTATATTTTTTCCATATCAGTGTTTAAATATAGAAATATACTATTTAGACTGCTTAAAATTTTTTTCTGATCATTGATATTTGTGTATGTAATGTGTGAGAAAACAGCTGTTTGAAAATGTATATTTTATTAGCAAAATAATGACTAAAGTTATAGTAAAGTTGAAAGCCTCTGACAGAGCTATTTATAGGTGAAAAATCAATTATCTATAACTAGTTTTCAACTATATAGGATCATGTCCTATATAAACTTGTTTTACATGTTTTTCAAAAATCCTTTTCCATAGATCATGAAAGGATAAATATCAGCTGGGCAAATTGTCATTAATTCTAAATAGATGGAATCTGAATTAATGAACTAGATAAAAATACACTAAAGAAGCTTATTTTCTTTTGAGAATTGTACATTTGTGTACTCTGTTTATAAGAAGTTTCCAGTGTGACTTCTAGATCTCTTTTGACTTGTAAAGATCTTGATAGTCTTATCCCATTTGTCTATCTATAGGCAGTTTCCATTTTCTTAACATAACTTGCTTTCCATTTGTTTCTATAAAACATTCACAGCTAAAAACTAAAACTTCAGAGATTGAAAACCTGATTCTCTTTTTATTAATATTCAGATAATGTATTTAAAATTTTCACGTTTTTGACAAATATGTTTCATAAATGTACATACAACTAATTCGAGGGGGAGCCCAACCTTTAAAAATAAACATGAAATTTATATTTTTTGATATTCTTGATTTGCTTTTGTAAACAGATTAAATTTAGTGTTAATGTTCTCTTGAATTCCAAATCAGGATCCAAGGGTACTATTTTCTAGTACTCTACTGCTATAGTTATATTTCTTCCCCCATTTTGTTTTGTTTTGTTTTGTGTTTTTTAGATTATCTACCTTTCTTTAATGTTAATCCTGAAATTTTTAGACCATAAAGCCACATTCCTAACTCTATTGAATATGATCATTGATTTTACTCTTTTGGGATAATTATTATTTTACCAACCATTTTGTAATATGAAATGAAACTTTTAATGTTGAGAAAATCTAAAAAAAAAAATCTATATAAATTGCTCATGTAAACATTTATTGATTAGAAATGACAGTTTGCACTTTAAACCATAATGATGCTGCTGAGATGAAGAAAGAAAAATCTGAAGGCATTCTTTCATCTATAAAATGCTTAAAGTAATTTAAGATTTGGAGCTCATGAGGACTTTTTAAATTTTTAATAGCGTAAGCTGGCTTGAAAGTGACCATATTGAATAGAACTATTCAAGTGAATAGGTGTAGATACCATGATAGGTTAATAATCATGACTCTGGGAGAAGAAACATTTTTTTAGTTTCTGTATTATTTTCTTAATATTTATTCCACTAGTATCATATCTTCAAATTGTGAATAAGTATTAATATTTTTCTTAAAAGTTATGGCTTCTCTTTTTGTACCATATAAATTAATTTCTGTCCATAGTTCTCATCAACCTCTCTGTCTCTTTTGGGAATAGAGGGTTTGAAGTGGTAACTGATTCTGTTATATTGACTTAGAGTAAGCCTGCCATTTTTCTGAAGAGATAAATACCTTGAAGGAGTAAGCAATTTTTAAATTATAAATTAGCAGCCTGGTGATTTTTCATTATAAAAAAGTTGACTCATTTTCTGGCCCTTGTTAAATAACATTTATATACTGCCATTAGTATTGTAGCTCTATTTTTTTTTTTTAACAGTATAGTCTTTAGCCTGGTTTAATACTACCTTTACAATGTTATAAAACTTCATCCTGATAGGGTTTTTATTTCTGCTATCTCATTTGGATCTGTATACGCTGAGCTAAGTAGGAGAGGAGATGCATTGGGGTATGTTATGACAGAAATCTCCGTGTCTGACTTTAATAAAAGTTCTCATTAAGTTTCTTCAGACTGGATTGAGGGTCAAATGGAATCAGAGAGGGATTGGGCAGCTCTGCAGGTAGATCCTTCACAAAATGGTGTTTCAAGGATTCAACTATCCTTCAAGTGGTGACTTAGGGATTCTAGGCTTCTTTCGCCTAGTGGCTCCTCTGTTCATTCTTCTACCTTGGAGTTCTCTGTGAACTTGGCTAGTAAACAGGGGGAGGGGATGCGGCGCTGCAGATCTATCAGGAGATTCTAGGCGCCAAGCTTAGAAGTGGATGTATCATTTCTACCCACATAAAGGCTAGTGCCCTGTGACTAGTTCAGGCTACCGTGCAAGGGAGACTGGGACATGTAGTTTCATTTTACCTAGGAAGTAAAAGCAGGATTGATAAGTGTCTAAGTGATATTGTCTCTATTTTTACAAATGAGAGAACAAGTTGTAACTTTAGTCATGTTCACATACTGAAAAATGAAACAGATCTAGGCCTCTTACCCTGGAAGTCTAGTTGATTTTTGGCTGCTCATCCACTCCAGACCATGTCCTAAAACTGACATACTTGAACAGAGTTTTGAATTTGGTGGAGGCAAACTTTTCTACAACCACTCTGACTTCTTGGCAGTTTCCAGAGTAATTTATTTAAGATTTTCTTTTCTCTACCTTTTTTCCCCCCTAGCTATACTTACTAGTCTTTTAGGAGATGCCCTTCAGGATATAAATAGTATATGGTTTCTTTTTACTTACTGTATTTTAATGGCTTCTCTATGACTGATAGCCACCTTTTATTCTAAATTAAAGTAAAAGGCACATCAACATTGATCTTGATTACCAGAAGCATGCTAAGTATGAAGTAGAGTTTTAAGAAATACCATTTACTGTTCAAATTATAACTCTCGCCTCACCACTTGAGATTAAATTTATTCTGCATTACAAAGTATATTTCGTATTTCTTTCTCCCAGTTCTTTTAATAGAAAAATATTTGTTTTCTAGAAAATATTACTAGTTATCCTTTTTTTTACATGCCTTTTTATCAGATTTTGTTGAAGGAGAATTCCTGCTTTAATAAGAGCTTAAGTAGCAAGAACTCATCTGTCCATAACTGGTGAGTTCAGCTGTGAAGAGTCTACTTCTCTTGGGTTGCCTTATTTCTTCTTCCATCCCCCAAAGAGAAGAAAAGTGGGAAGTTGGTGTTTCTGTACTTTTTTTGTGTGTACTGCTTTCCCTAACAAACACTTGTTTCAACAGTTGCTCAGATCGCCTAAAGTTAGTTCTTTATCATGTCCAGCATATCACTGATTTGTAGCCAAAGTATTCTCTACTTTCTATTGTAATTAAAGTTCCTTTTTGTTTTGAAGTTTGCTTGGCCCCTCTTTTCATGGAGAGGTAAGTGATAGGTTACATTCTTTGTACATTTGAATAGTGGGGTTTGCATGAGAAGTAGGATTTTGCTTTTTCTCCGTAATAGCTTCCTTGCTGAACCTGCTTTCTATTTTCCTGATTGTTCAGCTCAAACCTTACCCATTTTTCTCTACCCCTTTGCCTCCCTAGACTCTCACTTTGGTCTGCTAATTCCCTTCATATGTCCCTCATTGAAAATATGTTATGGTCAGATTTATTCTGATTTTGCCTCTTCTAATATTGGGTACAGAAGGTGTAACAGCACCTTCATATTCAATTGTTCTAATTCTTTTTGCCTATTCTCATTTGCATGTTGCCTGTTTCATGAATCTGCAAGTTTCTTTTAGTGAGAGAACCATACTATTCAAATGCACAGTAGGTGGGACCTATGATCTAAGGGAAAGATTTAAACCTTCAGCTACTACCCTTATGGAATGCCTGAGTCCTCGCTGTCCTTGCGTTAGCTGTTTTAACTTCCAGTTTCAGAATGTCATGATATTCTCTTAAAATTTTCAGTAATTAACAGAAGCCTGTATATGTATAACAGACAGTATTTTAGCTACTTGTACTGAAAGATTTTCAAGTTTTAAGTGGTATTTGTTTTCTATTAAGTTTTTTTTCTTTTTACTTGTCAGAATTATAGAGATTTAGAATGGAGACTAAAGCTATCTTTAGTGACCTATGTTTTATATTCTGAAATAGAGTTTTATATTATTGTTTATGTATTAAA